TTATCTTTATTATTATTTTCTATTTTTTTAAACGTGTTAGGTACTGTTAAACACTGTCATTATCGATCCCAAGCCCGTATGTGAAAGGTGGAGAGTTGTGTTAGGTAGCCGACAACTAGCTTCAAAATTGTCAGAAAAAATCATGACATGAATCCTTTTAATCATTGTGTAAGTGCTAGGGCATCCCCTGGAAGAGACGCGTTGTATGGTCTGAATACAGTGAAAAGTGTGCAAGGGTGTTACACTGACGCCGAGGTATAGTGTCAAATAAGCAAGGGTTCCCACATTACAGATAAATGCGGATAATAAAGTTGATCCATGAAACTAATATTATGACATAATCTTGGAAGATAAGTACTCTCACTGGTAAATTTGTGAAATTAATTGATATTATGATTCATAGAAAGATAAATATCTTATGTGTTCAAGAAATTAAATGGAAATGCTAAGGAGATTGTTGAAAAAATCATGACACAAATCCTTTTAATCATTGTGTAAGTGTTAGGGCATCCCCTGGAAGAGACGCATTGTATGGTCTAAATACAGTGAAAAGTGTGCAAAGGTGTTACACCGACGTCCGGGTATAGTGTCAAATAAGTAAGGGTTCCCACATTACAGATAAATGTGGGTAAAGAAGTTGATCCATGAAACTAATATTGAAACTAATATTATGACATAATCTTGGAAGATAAGTACTCTCACTGGTAAATTTGTGAAATTAATTGATATTATGATTCATAGAAAGATAAATATCTTATGTGTTCAAGAAACTAAATGGAAAGGCTAAGGAGAATGATAACTTAGGTATTAAACTTTGGAATTCAGATAAGAGTTGCATTAGAAATGGTGTAGGTGTAATTATAGATATGAGTTTAAAAGATAATGTTGTAAAAATTAATAGAGTTGTAGATAGAATTATAGCCCTTAAGATTATTTTTTATACTAAGATTTTTAATATTATAAGCGCTTATGCTCCTCAAGTTGGTTTAGATATAAGTTCTAAAGATAAATTCTAGAATAACTTAGAAGACTTAATGCAAATGATACCTCTTGAAGAAAAAAAATTTATTGGAGGAGATTTAAATGGACATGTCAGTAAAGTTGTAGAAGGTTTTAGAAAAATTCATGGTGGCTACGGTATTGGAGTGATAAATGAAGAAGGTAGAGCTATATTAGATTTTATTTTGGTGTATGATTTTATTATTGCTAATACTTTATTCAAGAAAAGAGATGAGCATATTATTACTTTTAAGAATATATAACGTATAAGAATATATATAATAAAACACAACTTGATTATTTTTTTATGAGAAGAAGAGATTGTCGAGATTGTAAAGATTGCAAGGTCATTCCAAATGAAGATTTAACTACTCAACATTAGTTATTAATTCAAGATTTTAAAATGAAGAGTTGTAAAATAAAGAACATTAAAAATCATCATCGTAGAATTAGATGAGGTACCTAAAAGACATAAATAAAATTATTTTTATGTGTAAAATTCAAGATCTCAAATTTTGAGATGTTCATGAAGAAGAAAATTCTATGTGGGATAAATTAACAAATACTATTAAACAAGTGACAAAAGTTATACTTGAAGAATCAATAAAAAAAAAATTTATAAAAAAAATAGTTGGTGGTGGAATAATAATATGCAAGAAAAGATAAAATATAAGAAATTGTGTTATAAAAATGGGTTTAAATGTAAGAGCTTAAAGAACTGAGAAAAATATCAAATGACGCGTAGAGAGTCTAAGAGAACAATCTATGATGCAAAAAAAATTGCTTTTAGTGATCTTTATAATATAATAGATACTAAGGAGTATGAAAAATATATGTATAAAGTAGCTAAACAAAAAGAAAAGAAAAGAAAAGATTTAACTCAAGTAAAGTGTATTAAAGATGAAAATCAAAAATTAATTTTTTTAAAAAAAGACATTTAAAATAGGAGGTTGTGTTATTTTGATATTTTTTAATGAAGTTTTGGAAAATACGATCTACCTTAGTGATCTTAATATCATTAGTAAAAATAAAATGTTTCATTTTTACCATCACAATAGTAAAAAAGAAGTTGAAGAGATTTTAAAGAAAACCAAGGGTGAAAAGTCTGTAGGAGCTGATGATAACCCAATTATAGTGTGAAAATGTTTAGGAGATTTTGGATTTGCTTGGTTTACTAGACTCTTTAAATTTATTTTAAAAACTGAAAAGATGCTTTAGGAGTGGAGGAAGAGTGTTTTGATCCCCAATTTTAAGAATAATAGGGATGCACAAGAGTGTGCAAATTATAAAGGAATTAAGTTGATGTGTCATACTTCAAAATTATGGGAGAGGGTAATTGAACATAGGTTATGACGTATTACAAAAATTTCTCTTAATCAATTTGGATTTATGCTGGGAAGGGTTACTATAGAAGCTATACATTTATTGAGAGGTTTGATGGAGAAGTTTATAGATAATAAGTAAGATCTACATATGATTTTTATTGACTTAGAAAAAGCTTACAATAAGGTTCTAAGTGATATCCTTTGGAGAGTTCTTGAGAAGAAAGGTGTTCATATGACTTATATTCAAGTCATTAATGATATGTATACTAGAGTTATTACTTGTGTTTGAACAGAATGAGGATTGACCAAATATTTTCCTATTTCGACTGGTTTACATCAAGGATCAGCTTCAAGCCCATATCTTTTTTGCTTTAGTTATGGATGGTCTTACTGGAGACTTATAGGAGGATGTACCTTAGTGTATGCCTTTTGCAGATGATATCCTTCTTGTGGATAAGAAGAGAAAAAAAACTTAGGAAAAACTTGAATTATGGAGGTCTACTTTGGAATCTATAGGCCTTCGTTTGAGTAGAACTAAACAGAATAAATGGAATGTAATTTTAGTAGTAGTAGTAGCTATAGCAACAAATATGTAATTATATGAGATCAAATTATTAAAAGGTTGAACGCTTTAGATATCTCGGGTCTATTGTTCAAAGTGATGATGATATTGATGGAGATGTTATTAGAAGAATTCAAGTTGGTTGGTTGAAGTGGGAGAATGCTTCGAACTATTGTGTGATAGAAAAGTACATCTTAGACTGAAAGGAAAATTTTATAAGATGATGGTGAGACCTGCAATGCTCTATAGCGCTGAATGTTGACTTTTAAAAGAGAAGCATAAAACTAAGTTAAGCGTTACCCATGATGAGGATGATTGGGCAGATGAGTGGCTTTAAACTTAGAGACAAATTGCTAAATGAATATATCTGTGTTAGTGTTGGTGGAGCTCCGGTGAAGGAATAAATTAGAGAGAGTCGTCGTAGATGGTTTGGTCACATTAATCAGCAACTATCTAATGATCCGATTAGAAGGATATATGTTTTAGATTCAACTTATGTTAAGAAAGGCAGAGGTAGACCTAGGAAGACTGAGGCATTTTGTATTAAAATGATCTTAATTTATTAGAATTAAATGAAATATGACACTAAAAAAGGATTAATGTAGCTGACCCCACTTACTGGGATAAATGTTTTGTTGTTGTTGTTATTGTTGTGTTTGATATTGTTATGATTTATATGTTTTTAAGAATTTAAAAAATATAAATATATTTGGTTGGATATTTTTTTAAAAGAAAAAATTATATGTTTTATATAATGGTTGAGTCCACGCGACGCTCTAGTATTAAGCTCCGCTGCCCATGATGTGTAAGTCGTCGTTCTTGCTCCACTCAACACGAAACATTCCCGGTGCGTGCGACATGCGGTGGGCAGGAAGCAAATGTGCAACGTGCGGTGGGCTGTGGGGACGGGCGGGAGGCAGACGTGCAACGAAAGGCGGATGGCAAGGGAGGGGGAGTGGGGTGCTACTACAGGTAACGACTGGCAGGCAGAAGACGACGGGCGGGCAATGAAGCCTCGCATAGGTGATACTCCAAAAAACGTATTTTTAAAACAAAAAAAACACAATTTCTTTGCTTTTGATGCTTTGAAAACAAGCCTCATGTGCTTTTAAAATAAACTAAAATGAAATAAAAAAAAAAAACAAATAAACAAACATTACTTTTGAGTTTATTTTCTATTTTTTGTTTCTAAAATAAAAAACAGAAAATAGAAATTGATCCCAAACAGGGTCTTAGGTTTGAATCTCCTTCAAAACAAATATTTATGTTTGAAACTTGTTTGAACTTTAGTTTGAATCTTAAGTCATTAAGTGAAGTTCATTTTGAACCTCAGCTTCTAAACTTCTATTCAAAATAGTCAGTAAACCCTATACTACTACTTCCTACTATAATGTAATAGGACTATCAAGATTTCAAGGATTGGTAAATGCTTTCTAAGTCAAGTAAATAAAATATTATAACATATTTTAGAAAGTAATGCTTTATGAAGGCTTCACATCATTATATTCTAATATCATTAAGCTACACTGATAGACACCCGACTGTAATAAAATAATTTATTATTATTTCTTTGTAGCCCATCAAGGGAAAGCATTCATCTCAGGCTCTATAAGTAGAAATGATCCTCCATCCTTAAGGAACTACGATCTAAGAAATTTGGTTCTCTTCTCCTTCTCTACCAAAAGAATGTTCATTTCATTTCCTTCTACTTCCTCAACTAAACTCACCTAAATTGTATACGCCCACGAATAATTTGGGATCTGACATCCTAAAAAGATTAAACGTTAACAAATTTTATTAGGAAGATTTACATGCAAAACTCTTACATATTTATGTATCTAACACCAAAGTTATAAGTTTTATATATATGACACCTTATTTATGTATGTAAATATGTACTTCAATTTATAAAAATTAAAATCATAATATTTTTATGTGATGCAAAAGATTTGGGCGGCATGAGTGTTAACATAAAATTTAGTTGGTTGGGTATGTAAATACATAGAAATGGAGCAGTAAGAATGTAAATGCCGCAATTTATTGTTTTTTATTGAAACGTTCCTCACGTGCAATCTTATATTCAAGGAACCCCTTTCTGTCAAATTGCCCCACCGCAAAACAGGTAGCCACGGTATACAGTAGCCGGGGGTGTGGCTCGCCGTTCCGGAAAAAAAGAAAGTTGAAAACGCAAGGAGCGATTCGATGGAGGCGATGCGCCACGCTTCCACCTTCCTCCTCTCCTCATCGGTAGAACGCGCCGGCGACCTCTCTCCGCCGGATTACGCTCTTGTCGTTCTTAACCGGCCACTCCTTCGCTTCGCCCCTCTCCTTTGGGAACGCGGTATTCCCTGTTCTTTATCTGAATTCGCGAGTTTTTTAATGGTATTTGCTTGTTCTTCTTCTCGTTTGCTGAGGTTTTCGATCGTGGATGTTGTGCGTAACAGCAAAGCTGCGGGTCTGCGCGGATGGAGGAGCAAACAGTTTATTTGATGGAATGCCGGAGTTGTTTCCCGAAGAGGATCCAGAGGAAGTTCGATTAAAGTATGCTTTTTATATTTTTGATGAGTGTTGTTCTTTATCGTCTTAAATTTTGTTTTGTAAAAAGTAGTTTGGATTTCTTTTTGGAGAACGACGATGGATTGGGTTTGTGATATTTTAATCATCAAGCGAGTTAGAGAAATAACTCATCTTGACCTACATCTCGAGGATTTGATTTTTTATATTGACTGCTTGTTAGTTCTTGATGTGATTTTAATGAACGATAATTTATAGTCCAAGTTGGCGGCCTAGAATTTGACTTTTTCTTTATAATTTTTTGTCTTTTCTTTGTGATGACATTTTGACAAAAATGGCCTATTTTATATTCGTAAACAAGAATAATTAGGTATGATAATTGACAGATTCAATCACTCATGTCTGGTTTTCCTGCAACCTAGCAATTCAGCATAGGTTTGCCTAAATCCATGTATGATTTGTTGGCTTGCAACCTAAACATTAATGGCATTTGCGGCCTGCAAATCATGATTTTTTTTTTCACAACCCAAACTTTACTTGGGCTAAGAGATCAAAGTATTTTTAAAAATGGTTGTGGTTAGAAATTCTTTCATTTGTCACTGACTGAAAGCCGCCAAACTCCCAAAATTGCTGGGGACCTGGCTTTAGTGATGGTATTAATTCACGAAGAAAAAGGAATAAAAGATTAAGAATAATTGATCAGTAAATAAATCAAGTTTCATTAATTATGAAAGCAGTGAATTATCATATAAAAGAACTTGTCCATTACTACGGATAGAGCATACTACAAGGAGTTTTCTTTTTTGGCAAATGCTTTTCATAAATTTCAGACTTATGCTATATTAACTATGTTTGATATCTAATGAATAATTGGTGTGCAGGTATAAGCGGTGATGTTTGTTCTTCTTCATTTTGATGTTTTTTTCAATGCTTTCTATTATCATCATGTCAGCATTAGTGTTACTGATCGAGTGATAAGTCATTATTTTAAGAGATTGTACAAATTTTATTTTGTATGTGAAATTTTGGTTGCTATCAGACTATCCAACCAAAAAACATCTTAGAAAATTATTGTTGGAATCGCAATTCATTACACGAATATGGTAGATTACCGTATGAAATTTCCGCTTGTAAAAGGACAATTTTCCGATGCAAATTCCTATTAATGGTGAATTTACGTCGACAAAATGTTCGAAGCTAAAATGTGGGCCGCAAAGACAATTAGTGTCGTGAATGGATGACACAATGGTTTGTGTCGGGTTAGCATTCGTATTGTGCGTCGTTAGAAATTTACGACGAGATTCTTGTGGACATAAATTTTAACTGCGGAAAAAAAGTTTGATTTGTCTGACGCATAATTAAGTCGGAATGTCGAAAATTGGCGATGTTAATGTGCATTGGACAAGGCACATGCAAATCCAATGCAAACCTATAGTGAATTAAAATACATATATAAAAGATCAGTGACATTTTACTAATCCGCACAAAATAAATTGCACAAACCTAATATAAACATCTACTCAACATTTATTCTTTGCCAACACATAAAAGATTGCACAAACATATATCGACAATGAAAACAAACACACATTTCACAATATCTACTAAGTTGTCAATATAACATAAATTTATAAAATGTAAATGAAAAATATATATGACATTTACGTATATGTCCAAATAACAAATTAGAAAAAACTAAAAACTCCTACAGTGCATTCTCGTCGCACTCATCATCATTCTTGTTATCCTCTTTCTTTTTCTCATGAACTGAATTCAGGTGTTGCTTGCCACGTTGATTTACAAGCTGCTTTATAGTGACATTGATTCTCTGCTGCCCCTCATGTAGCTGACAAAACTCTTCAGTCATAGCAATGACACTCCGGACAAGTTCGTCATGCTCTGATGATAGCGATCTCGGACCTTGAGCAGATCGGGGTGCTCAACCTCAAATACATTTTTTTTGTGCCCAGGTCATATACCCTCCCCTTCTCCTTCCCAACAGCCTACCTCTAGATCTCATAGTCAGATTGCTCAAGAACATACCGACTACCTCTATTATTAGCGGTTGTCAGGCTTCTGTCTTTGTCTGTCTCCGTGTGTCCTAAATGTGCTCGTAGTCCTCCTATATAATTGAAGCCAAAAAATAATTAATATTTTACATTAAAAATTGAACTAAATTGTAGAAAATCAAAGTTTTTTACTTCCATAGGCACACCGAGATGGGTCGGACACCCACTGTTGTGTCCATGCGCCGATGTCTCTATACATGCAACTTTGTAGTGATGGGCGCCCGACCAAGCTAATGAGCTGGTGAACATGAAAAATAGTAAGTACCGAATAATTACATCATTGAACTGTCGAATATTGAGTGAATCTTACTAACTTCCAATATTGCTCTGTATGCGGGACCAATCATTCAATGTGGAGTGCGGCGTCCTTGGCTCCATCGATCCTTCAGTTCTGCTAGTTCGTATCCCTTTTCCTCTGATATTCGGAAGTATCCCATAATATGGCTAACTCCACTCATATTTTCTCCCTACTAAGATCGACCGCTCTCCCTTCCTACTAGTTGCCATGAACATATCACATTGTCGATGCCCGACGCGATCCTCACAATCGTGTTGGATCTTCTGGTGATCCTCAGTCCACCAGTGGGGCCTCTGCAAAAAAGTATTACACAATGTTTATTATTTTGACAAATAAAAGTAAAATTATAATTCTAATTCAAATCAATTGAATTTACTTTTTGCTGCTTGAATCACATGTCCTGAACCGCGATTGGGATTTTTTTTCATGAGAGATAAAAATTCGCATCTATTCATAAGGATCTCCGTGAGACGTTGTTGACCTCAATTTTTGTGAGGTCTAGTATTTCTCGTAGGAGTTAGGATCTAGCCTTAGGGGTCTTCCTGCGACTATCTTAGAACCTTAGAAGTGGTGCCCGCCTCGTTTTTAGTTCGACCTATTTCCGTTCTCTTTTGGAGTTTCGCGTGTGCGGTATCGACTTCTAACACTTAGAAGGATGAAACCGACATGAGGAAACCCAAAATGAATTCCTATAGGACCTTTCCGAGCCTTAGGGTGGCCTTCTGCACAATTCGCACTCCTACGCGCACCAGCTTCGCAATTCGGAGAGTCGACGTGT